TATATATATATAGATTGATTATTATCAGGAGGGGAAAATTTCATATATATATATATATATATATATATATAGATTTCATATATATATAGATTGATTGATTATTATCAGGAGAAGGAGATTGTGCAGCCGTTTCAATTTCCCATCTAAATCTATGCGGTGCTTCCACATACTTTCTCTTTTATTTATAATTTTAAAAAAAAAAAATTTGTTACTAGGGATTGAACCCTGGGACACCTAAACCTGAGTCACATCTCCAGACCTTTTTTATTTTGAGACAGGATCTCCCTAAGTTGCTGAGGCTAGCCTCAAACTTGGTGATCCTCCTGCCCCAGCCTTTCAGGTCTCTGGGATTATAGGTAGTCACCACCATGCCCAGCAAAAAGAGACTTATTTAGCTCACAGTTCTGAGGGTTTAAGGGTATGTTGCCAGTGAGCTTAGCTCTGCTGAGGATCTCATGATGGAAAGCATCATGGTGGGAACTCGAGCATGTGACAGAGGTCACACGGTGAGATGGGAAGCAAGAGTGAGGACCTCTCATTGGGCCTAGCTCTTAAAGGTCCCCACCCCTCTTCATATTGCCACATTGGGAGCCACGCTTGACTCTCTGGAGGACATGCACAGAACATCCAAACCATAGCCATTTCCCTCTTTCAAAACTAAGGAAACGGGCTGGGGCTGGGGCTGGGGCTCATTGGTAGAGCACTTGCCTGGCATGTGTGAGGCACTGGGTTTGATCCTCAGCACCACATAAGAATAAAAAGAAAACAAAAGTATTGTGTACATCGGAACAACTAAAAAAAATTAAAAAAAAAAAAAACTAAGGATACAGGATAAATAGGATTAATAGGGTTGATGACTTGCTGGAACACAAGTTCAGTGGACCAGACTTGAACACTCAAGTCCACACAAGCCTGTGTTTTGATTATGACCCATCACGTGAAGGCAGGTGTGAAATTTTCCCCTTGTGGTATCATGTCATTCACTCATCGTTTCAGATTTTTTATTTTTTTATTAGGGACACTCAGCTCGAACTGGGTTTTATGATTCCTTGAGCCTCCACTGTCTACCCCAGGCCTGGTTTGTCTTTTTTATCTACAAGTTTCTCGCGTTTTTTTCTGCACTTCTCGGGGGCTCAGAAATGTCACCCAGAGCCATTTGCTTTTGTATTGCTTACTAATGGTTAACCTTTTGACTAGTAGGTGACAGACTAGGAAGGGGGTACTGGAGAAAGCCCAGTCTACTTTAAGACTCTTGCAGGAAATGAGCTGTTGCCTGGGAGAGAACCCCAAGAGGTGGTGGGAACTACTCTGTCATTGCTGGCTGGGTCCTTGATGCCCCTAACCCTGGTGGCTGTGCTGAGTCCACAGGAACCTCAGAGTCACCTCCTCTCTTTCCTTGTACATATGAGAACAGAAGTTTCCTTTTACGCCCTCTGAAGTTCAGATGACTAGAAGACTGTCGAGGGGAAAGCTTAAGATGGTTTGCCGAGGCCAGTCAGTAGTGGGACCAGGGGCTTAGGGGAATGGGATTCCTAGCAATATGGCTTCTTCTGCCCACATCCCTACCTCCTCACCCACCTCCTCACCCACCTCCACCGCTGTGCGCTTTCCTTGATTTGGACTTTCAACCTTTTCTTAGTTTTAAGTAAGGTGTTTTGTAAAACCCCACTTCACACTGCCCTCAAACTGACCTGAGCCCGCGGCTGACTGAGACCCCAACTTCAGAGCTGTCCCCTGGCAGGGGACTGTGCTCCCACATGCCGAGCCTTTAAGGAGCACACGCTGGGCATTATGGGGAATCATTACTAGCATACATCTTGGCCTCAGAAACAGTCTTGCCTTCACCAAATTTAGCTCTGGAGCACTTTGTCTTTTTCCTGTTTGGGGTCTGTACTCAGAGGAATCATGGTGGAATTGAGTGCCTTCTGGCTACTCAGGCCCTTCAAGTTTCCATGGCCTGTTCTACTTACCTCTCGGTGCTCAGCTTCTCAACTCAGCAACATGGTAAGTCACTACTTTGTTGTCTCAAGGAGAAGTCAAAGTTGTCCCCCCTCTAGTGGGGAGGTGGGCCTGGACAGAATGAATAGGAAACTTAGCAATAAATGGTGTCTGTGAGCAGAACTGCCCCTTGAGGGCTAGATGCTTCTGGGCCCAGTGAAAGGGTGGGAATAGGCAGGATTCTAATTTAGGAGCCTCTGGGATGATAAAGAAACTTGTGCTCCTTAGAGGGTTCCAGAACAATAGTCTTCCCCACTTTCTCCTTTGCCCGCACCTTGGAGACAGGCCTGAGGCACTAGAACAGTTAACTTCTCTGACCCTGAGCTGAGCTGGCTTCTCTTGAGTAGGAAGGCCTGGGGGTCGGGCCAGCCTGCACTCCAGCTTTTGTGTCTTTCCCCTCTGTGCAGCTCTTGGCTGGCTTTCTTTCTTGAGGGCATATTAGCTCAGGTCCCTGGGGGCCTGGAGTGGCTCCCCTCAGGCCAAAACCCCTGCCTAGCCTTGCTCTCACTCTCCCAGGTTCAGTAAGAACTGTGTATCTTCTTCCCCTCTTTTTTCTTTCCTTCAAAGAATCTTTTATAAACTTTGGTTGTTGCTACTGCTAAGAATAACATGTAGTTGAAAGGCGGGGAATCTCCGCCGATGCAGAAAGCTCCCCTTTCATGACTGCCAAAAGAACAAGGTCACTTGAATTTGGAGTGTCTTCAGCAGCTCGGGGATCTCTGGAACAGGATTCCTTTCTGCCCCTAGTGACTCTCCACTGATTCTTCAAGGGGATGACTTCAGCTCTCAAGTGCTGGGCTGGGCAGCAGGGCTGAGTTTACTGGATCTGCCCACCTTTAGGGACTGGCCTAGACTACAGAGCCCAGTTGGTCTCATGGCCATCACAGAAGCCTGAAGCTCAGTTACCAGAGGCAAGAACAGGTTTTCTGGCCAGGAGAGAATAGGTCACCTGGGAGACGCACAGGTGGCGCCATCACTTATCTGATTGCACAGCCAGAAGCTGCCTCTTGCCTACCCTCCAGGCTTTCTGTCTAGTAGCCACATAAGGGGCTCCTGGGCCAGTAGAGAGCAAATGCTTTGTAAGCATACCTCTAGGGAATGCCCATCCAGGTGAAGATTCTAAAATTGTCCCTTGTTCTCCCTTGAAATGTTTTTGTTTCTTCAGAGTGTTTATCTGCAACTACATGTTGCAGATGAATTTGGGAAATATATTTGAAGTGGAAACAATCATTTTTGTTGTTGTTGTTGTTGTTGTTGTGTTCTGTGATTCCACAGCAGGAACCCAGTAATTCAGTCTGGCTTCTAAGGCATCCCTGGGTATCCCCCTCCTAGCTCTTCAGGGCATCCTAAGCCAGGATCTAGAATGCTTACTGGAGCTGATGGAAATTGATTAATATCTGCTGTGCACAGTGGTACACACCTGTAATCCCAGAGACTTGGAAGGCTGAGGCAGGAGGATCGAAAGTTCAAGATCAGCCTCTGCAACTTAGCAAGGTCCTAAGCAACTTAGTAGGACCCTGTCTCAAAATAAAAAGTAAAAAGTGCTTGGGGGTGTGGCTCAGTGGTGGTACCTCTGGGTTCAGTCCCCAGGACAGGGTAGGAAGAGAGAAGGATGATGAAAGGAAGGGAGGAGGAAATTGGCAAAGATGTGAGTTGTGCAGGATTTTGTGGCTCTCCAGGTCCTGCATTTTGTCTTCATGCTGAGAGCACACTGGTTAAGTGTCTTTCAGACCTGGCTTTGATTCATGAGAAAGTCAACGTCTGGCTTTGCTGGCTATGGATCACACTTCCTAGTCTCTGGATTCCAGTTTCCTTATCTATTAAGTGGATAAGTTTCCCAGCTTCTTTTAAAGGAATCAGTGAATGTCAGGTACTTAGCAAGGTCTGCCCTTGGTCCATGCCAGATGCTGGGCATCATCTCTCCACCTCTTTTCCTAAATCCATGCACACCTCCACTCTCTGTGTTAATAGCAGAACACGTGCCCAGGATGGTTCACAGCTGCTTGGCTGAATGACTGCTTTCTTTGAACAATGAGTTTCAGTCATTTTGACCTAAGACCCACTCCCCTCCCATTACCCTGCTCACATAATTTAACTTTTGGTTCTGGATGGAGATTCAAGTTGTGAGTCTCAAAGTAACACTTTCAGAAACCATCATTTTTGCTGATCCATCCATTTCTGTATATTCTACCTAAGAGTAGCACTTCATGTGTCTAGGTTCTGTGTGTATCCTGCGTGTAGAACCCAAAGCCTGAATGAACCTGGGTACCCTTGCATTGTAAGACTTATGTAATGTGTGTGCTACAGGCCTGGAGTTGTGATAGTTGCCACTGAAAGTAAAGTTAGCCACCAGGTATTCCTCACAGTTATGTTAGTGGCTTCATGTTCAGGCTGAGTCAAAATTGGAAGAAACCTGCTAATTATGTCTTAGAATAATTATAGCCAGGGGCTGGGGTTGTGGCACAGTGGTAGAGTGCTCGCCTAACATGCATGAGACACTGGGTTCAGTCCTCAGCAGCACATAAAAATAAAGATATTGTGTCCACTTAAAACTAAAAGATAATTTATTTTATTTTTTCATTGTTGATAGACCTTTATTTTATATATGTATTTATATGTGGTGCTGAGACTTGAACCCAGTGCCTCACTCATGCCAGGCAAGTGCACTACTGCTGAGCCCCAGCCCCAGCCCCGAAAAGATAAATATTTTTAAAAAAATCATTAAAGCCAGATTTTGAGTGCTTTAGTTCAAGCACTTGGCAAGGGCCTTGCCAGAGCTTGGGCATTCAGTCTTCACAATAATCCAATTAGGTGGGTACCAATTTTACAGATGAGAAAGGTGAGATATGGGGAGATTGAGTAACTTGCCCAAGGCAGCTTCTTTTTTAAGCATCATTATGAATCAATTCAAGCCATGTTTATGTGGCACTAGGGCCCTTGTGAACTGCACTGCTACCCTGGGTCATTCTGTGTTAAATAACATTCTGGGTTAAATAACTTACCCAAAGTCACATTGCTCTCCGGCCGGGGTTCAGGCAACCTGTTCTGAGCCACTCAGATCCTGTTCTTCTGTCGTAAGCTAAGACCCAGAGGTGGAGCAGCAGCACACTGGGAGGCATTTGGTGCTGGAGCCCTGGGATCCTGAGGAGGAAACCACTGTAGTGGTTGAACTCTTCCTGGTCTGGAGCAAGGAGGCTCATTTCCCACTCCGGATATTTGCTTATGTCACTAATTAAATTACAACCCTACTAAGGAAAATGATTAACAAAAGAAAGATTACAGTTAGCACTGATACCTTAAGCTGTTGTTTTTCTGTGTTCTTTTCAGTTCCTAACTTTGCTACGTAATTCTTTATTTACCTAATGTTATATCCATTTCAAATGGATATGATTTTTTTTATATCTGCATAATATTCCATGAAATTGATATAATTTATTTGATTACAATACATCTTCTTGTGTATGACCTTTTAATTAATTAATTTATTTATTTTGGTGCCAGGGCTTGAACCCAGAGGTGCTCTACCTCTGAGTTACATCCCCAGCCCCTTTTATTTTTTTTATTTTGAGATAGGATCTCACTGAGTTGCTTAGGGGGGTCTCACTAAGGTTCTAAGGTTGGACTTGATCTTGTGATCTTCCTGTCTCAGCCTCCCGAATCACTAGGATTACAGGCATGTACCACTGTGCCTGGTTTATTTTTTAATTATCTTGATTCAGGTAAATTCTAGAAGTAGAATGATTCATTTGAAGGGCTTAAATATTTTTTATTTTCATAAATTTTTTAAAAATATATTTTTAAGTTGTTGATAGACATTTATTTTATTTATTTTTATGTGGTGCTGAGAATCAAACCCAGTGCTTCACACATGCTAGGCAAGTACTCTACCACTGAGCTACAACCCCAGCCCTGTCATAACTTTTTTAAGAGTCCCATCTTATTTCTGCTGCTATTCAGCTTCATGAACATACGGTTGTTTTTATTGTGTGATTTTTTAAAATTTTTATGCTACTGTTAAATTATTTCATTTCACTTCAGTTTTATTTATTTGTGGCCCTGTAGTTCAAGCGCAGCTATGCAAGCTCTCTACCACTGTACTGTATCCTCCGCCCTAAAGTGTTCTGTGTTAAAAGTCTATTTTGCCATTTTAATAAGTAGGAAGATAGCACCAGTCAAGTTCTTAATTTGTATTCTCAATGTCCTGGAGAAACTGGGCTTTTAATTTTTTTTTTTCATCCTTGATGGTGTATATTTTTGCTAGTCTTGTGTTTTTTTCCCTTTTAGGTATAATATTTATATTTAAAGAATTTTGTTTTGGAGGATTTTAAATTTAACAATCTTGGTGCAGTGGCTCATGCCTGTAATCCCAGTGACTCTGGGGGCTGAGGCAGGAGGATTGCAAATTCAAGGCCAGCCTCACCGGTCTCAAAATAAAAAGGGTTAGGGGTATAACTCTGGTAGAGCATTCCTGGGTTCAAATTCCCAGCACCACAAACACAAAAACAAACCAAATCATAACACAGAAGCAGATAGAAGATCCTAATGAGCTCCTACGATGTCCCAGTCTGTCTCATTCATGCTCTGCCACCACCCCACACTCACCTACTTTATTATTTTGAAGCAGATTCCAGGCGAGAAGTCATTTAATCAATGATTATTTTAGTATCTCTAAAAGATAAGGTCTTTTAAAATCATAGCCACAATTTATTTTAATTAATTACTTAATTTTTTTTTTTTTGCTGGGTGGAGCCCAGGCTCCATACATGCTATAGCACTTACTCTACCACTGAGCTACAGCCCTATGCCCTGTTTTTAATTTTTAAATTTAATTTAGCCAACCCTGTTGAATTTTCTTAATTTTTCTTAATTTTCATGTATTTCTTTTTCTTAATTTTCATGTATTTCTTTTAAAAGCAGCGTCTCTCAAATGTTGGACAAAGGGAGTGGAAAAGGGCTGAAGTCAGACTTTGATGTTGATGTTGATCGGATGCAGGGGCTGGGGGAGAGACCAGACCCTTCATGCTTGGTGTGGGGTTGGTGGGTGCGGATGCAGGGGCTGGGGGAGAGACCAGACCCTTCATGCTTGGTGTGGGGTTGGTGGGTGCGGGGCTGCTGGGAGGGAGGGAGTGGGGAGGTCTGGCCTTCACCTGGCTCTGTGCTCTGGTAGGTGTACCTGGTCACCATGAAGCTGCCGAGCCCAGCCCTCCCCAGCTGCTTCCTACTGACCCTGCTGAACATATGGAGAGCTGCTCCCGAGGCCCACGCCTCCTCCATGGACATGCAGGCCGTCAGCGCCACCTCTTTCCTGGAGAACCTCATGCATCGCTACGGTGAGGGTGGCAGCCTCACCCTGCAGCAGCTGAAGAAGCTGCTCATCCACCTGAATGTGGGAGTAGACCGGAATAACTCCACACAGCCTGGCCAGGGACACAGGAACCTCTCCACGGTGAGGCTCCCCGCCTCTCTGGGCCACTACCATCTGTGGCCTCTGGGGCTCTGTCTGGTTAAGTGTAGGGTGGCTGAGCAGCCTGATTAAGACGGGTTCAGGTAGGTCTTGGTGACCGAGCAGGCAGGCCAGTTCTCTTCACCTGCTGTGTGGATCAGCACAGCCTGCATCCCCAGCAGGGCTTCCTCGATATAGGGTGCTTTGAAGCCCTTACACAGGGCAGCCAGGATGTAGGGTTCTCAGCACCCCCAGACTGTTCTTTGGAACTGCACTTGGATGGTCTGGCACTGCTGATAAGCCGAGGCTCCCAGGACAGCATTTCCATTAGAGTTCACAGTTTCCAAAGCCTATGTACACTCTACCAGGTGAGTTTCTCAGTCCTTTAGGGGCAGGGGGAATTATCTTATTTTAAAGGAGAGAATTCTGGTCCCACATGAGTTCCTGGAGGGACCTGGACTAGAACTTGGAGAAGCGAGGTCTTTGGGCTCTTGGTTCTGCGTCCTTTCTTCCTATCAGCTTGGCTAATCAGAGTCTGAGGCTATTTGTGGCAGCCGAATCTAAGCCAGCAGGGTCTTTATATATATCTGTTCTGTTCCCTGTGCTGAGTCCTGTGGGAAAGAGAGCAGGAGTCACATTTAAGGAGTGTGCTGCCGACACAGGGAGCTGGATGAGAGTGACATCATGTTCTGTGGGCAGGAGAGTAATCGTGGGGTTCAGAAAGGAGATGGGGTGATGAGTGTGCTGGAATAGCAAAGGCGGGTTCAGGCCTGAGGTGTGGAGTGAGAGGGGACGAAGAGGACCATGTGACCTGGGTTCAGAGTGTGGTCGATGTCTGAGTCAGTGAGGAGGCTGAATGTGCCGTGGGACAGCCTGAGCCTGAAGGCCTGCCACGTGGGTCTCAGGGCCTGCCAGGCAGCAGCAGTGTCCTGGGGTCACCAGAGTCTATCCCTCAGCATTATAGGCCCAGAACTGGGTGTTGTCAGCACACCCAGAGGGCCAAATCTCAGAAATAGACCTGAGTAAAATCAAAACTCGGAAAAGGACTGACGCCTACATGTATAAAGTATAATTAGAAGTAAACAGCAGCGCTTCCCAGGAACAGTACGTGAGAATCACTTGCAGTCCTCCTGCAGGTGGCTTGTGGTCGTGTCTGCTGACCAGCCCATGCTTGCTCTGCAGCCGGCTTTGAAAACTTGCCTTTGCCTGACTTCCTCAGCACCTCCTTCAGGCTGAGGACAAGCCTCTGGGGTTAAGGAGACTAAAGTTCCCCAGGCATTTGTCTTCCCAGGTAGCACCACAGTTTCAAAGGAGCCCACCCCTACACATACCAGTCCTCTGGAATCTTGATCTTGATAGCTCTCTGGGCTATTGTGATACAGATAGTTGGTATCTTCAGTTATGCAAATAGAATCACAGAATCACTCCCTGGTCACAGCGATTAGAATCTTGTTTCCTAAAATATCTCCCCAACCCCATTTGTAGTTAGGTAGGCTTAGCACCTGTGACTTTCCTGGTGGCCAGTCTCTAAGATAACTGATCAGATTTTCAAGTTTAGAGACTTCTTGCTCCATCCCTAGAGATATGTCTGCAGTTTTCCTGGTGTGTCTTATCTCTGGGCAGGCTGTGGAGAAGGCTGCTTGGCAGGCAGGGCGTGGGGTTTGGGTTCTAAGAGGCTCTCTGACCCTTCTTCTTGTTTCAGTGCTTTAGTTCTGGAGACCTCTTTGCTGCTCACAATTTCAGCGAGGAGTCTCGGATCGGGAGGAGTGAGCTCCAGGAGTTCTGCCCCACCATTCTCCAGCAGCTGGATTCTGGGGCCTGTACCTCTGAGAACCAAGAGAATGAAGAGAACGAGCAGACAGAGGAGGGGAAGCCGAGTGCCATCGAAGGTGAGCAAGGCGAGGCGAGGGAGGCCGCGACTGGAGTGTGGCATGCAGTGTGACCTGCTCCGGGGCCCAGGACAGTGATGATGTGCTGAGAGTCCCTGGGTTCACAGGCTGGTCTGGCACGTTGCCAGGTGCTGAGCAGGTGCTGGCCAACACGCAGAGTGCGGGGCTTCGGGGCCTGTGGGTGTCTTCCCTTTTGACCTTTGGAGGGCCAGCCTTCAAGACCTGCTTGGCCCACTTCATCTTTCTACCCTCTACCCCCAACCCAGTGCCTCTGCTTCAGCCACAGCAGGCTGGCCGCAGACTGAGGGCCACACAGCCGTGGGCCCCTGACTGTCCTGAAGTCCCATCGCGCCAGCCTGTGGCACCCGACCTGGCCCGTGCCATTTGCTGTCTCTCCCTGCTCCCTGCTGTCATGGCTGACTCCTGTTTAGTCTCCCATGTTGTTTCTTCAGGCTCTCCCTCTAGTCGGTAAGCTCCTTTTGGGTAGCAACCTTGACTTTTTTCCTAAGGCTCCTTCACAGCACCTAGCCAGCGGTGGACTCTTCAGCAGCTGCTCTGTCTGCCCAGGTTACCCCGAGTGGGAACAGGCCCAGGCGGCCGCTGGCGTGCCAGCCCTCAGTAATGGAGGCCCTCGTGTGTTCTTGTTCCTCCGCAGTGTGGGGCTTTGGTTTCCTCAGTGTCTCACTGATTAACCTGGCCTCTCTCCTGGGAGTCCTCGTCCTGCCGTGCACGGAGAAAGCGTTTTTCAGCCGTGTGCTCACTTACTTCATCGCCCTGTCCATTGGAACGCTGCTCTCTAACGCGCTCTTCCAGCTCATTCCAGAGGTGCAGTAGAACAGGCGCGCGTCCTCCCCAAGGCCAGGCCCTCCTGGCTGATGTCCAT